GAGACCTAGCAGGGTCACACAAAACCTTCTTAAATGAAAGCCTCAACTGTAGTTTCCCGCAACCTGCGGTGGTTGATGAATTTTAGAAGCAGAGTCTTGTAACAGCATCTGTTGCCCATAGGTCATCGCGTCAGGCCTCCTAAGACACCAGTGAGTGATCCTGCCTTTTGCGGGATGAAATGAAGTGCTAAGTTGCTCTCTGATGTGGTGTGCACAGGCAAAACACAAAAATGACCAAAAGGGGCTTTCTTAGCCTCTGCTAGCAACTACAGATCTGAACGGCACAGAAACTAGACTGCTCTTTGTCCAAAAGCTGGTCCTCAGAGGCACTGTGGCTGTCCGCCCTGTATCTGTTCTCTGGACAAGAAAGGATTTCTGTTTTTGCTCCCTTCCCCCTAGTAGCTTCCGTAAACTTTAGCAGAAAGGATACCAAAACACTATTTTGTTTTTCTTTCAGTTCAGGTAAATCTCTGCTTAACAAACGTACAAACCACCTCAAAGCAGTGCAAATGCTGCTTGAAACGTAGCTGTGGTTGTGTGCTTTTGGTCTAAGGGTCAATTTTCCTCTCCTTGTGGAAATGCCCCCAACAGCAACAGGCAAGGTCAGGTAGAAAACCAGGCTGTGACCAAAAAATGACTTGGATTATACCTAAAAAGCATGGTTTGATTTCAGCTAGCCTGGCTTCTGCGTGAAGAAAATCCATTTTGCCCCTGCTTATTCGTTTTGCCCCACGTCTCCCATGTAAGGGATGGCCGTTGCTGCTGTGGCCGCCCTTGCAGCGATATGCAGGCAGCAAATTTGGGCTCGTGGGCTGTAACCGGAGCTGGCGCAGGACCGTTGGGGAAGGATTTGCTCCCACAGCTCTTCCTTGGGATCGGGGGACTCGGGTCACAAGCTGATTGACTGCCTGAAGGGAGCTCAGCTCAATTTTCTGCTTGGTGAAGGTGTGCAATAAATAATTAACTTCCGAACTGTAGTTTTGTCTGCCTAGCTGGATCAGAGCAGTGCTGGGAATGTCATAGGCTAACCAGTAAGGAGCAAACTGTGTGGTAAAAATCATTGGTCACACATTCAGGAAACATTTGATAATAAATTGGTTTGAAAGCACCATGCTCATTTTTTAACAGGGAAAGGATGCTAATGTTGTTACCAGTTTTCTTTCCTTCTCTCTCTCTCTCTCTCTCTCTCTCTCTTTCTTTTTTTTTTTTCTTTTCTCCCCTGCTTTGGGCAGCTCTCATGAACTTGGAGCTGAACTGAAATTACTTTCATTGTCACATGTCTTATTTAATTGTGCAAATTGCTTTCTATTCCAAGGACAAGTTAATGTAGAAATGGAAAGGATTAGAACTGTTGGGATAAGCGATCGCCCTTTCTTTTAATTTTGAGTTTTAGCATAACAATAGCTACCACTTCAAAAGCAGTCCCTGGCTCTGCCCTGTCACCCTTTTATGCAGTCAAAGTACTGCTTAGTGTCTGATTCTCGACTGCCCTCTCCCTTGGGATAGATCCAAAGTCTGTTAACCAGTGGGAATCGGCCATAAATCAGCTCAAGGGGCTGAGGCTTCTTAAACAAGCAAAATTAAATGGCATAGGGATGGAAGATGCCTTCAAATCTGATGATAGCACTTTGTACCCAGTTAAAAACAGCATATTTGACCAAAATTCAGGCCAGGAGGAAGGAATATCCCTGTCATGGTGAATATCACAGGACTAGGCCTCTTTTTTTGAGCTTCACGTAAAAAGAGAAAAACAAGCAAAAAATAAATGAATGTATGTCTTCGGGTTTATCTGAAGACACTGCAAATACCATGTTGTTTGACTAAAGCAGGCATCAAAATACACATTGTTACAGCAGGTTTTTAGCCTTTTAAATGAGTATTAGCTATTGAATCTGTGCAAAGACTAGTCTAGTTCTTGAATTATTGATCTGTAGTGTGCCTAGTTTTAAAAGCTAGGCTCTTGAACATTTGTCCACTCATCGGGTTTTGTTTTTTTCTGTGAATTTAAAAACATATTTTGTTACTTAAACCTATCAAATTACTGCTATGTGTAGGTAGATGTTTTTCAGGTCATTTGCAAGAATCGAGAGCTTTCTGTTTTCTGTTAATATATTAATATGATGGACAAGTGCAAAACCAGGTGGAAAAAAATCACACCCTCTTTCAGTGGTCTATGTCGCAGTGGTAAGCCATCACTAGGAAATTAAGGGGTTTTTATGTGACATGAGAGTTTTTCACTTTTACTTAATTAAACTGCAGCACACAGCACCATTCAGCAAAAACATTTCTGTTGTGGCCATCTCAGTGTTGCAAGCGAGGTATCAGCAGCATCAGGCACGTGAAGAGCTTTCCAGTGCCCGTGTGCAACTCCTGTTCAAGCTGGTGGGAGTTTTATGTGTGGGTTGCTAGCAGTACACTGCCATTAGCATTTAATTTTTTACGGATGAATGTGTACCATCTCTGAGTGTAGTTATACACAGGAAAGATGAGTAAAGATAACAGTTCACTACTATCAAAGGCCAGGAGCGGCTTTGCCTGGGACATATCCCTGCTAGCTTATGCTTAGTTTTACAGTAACTAGGCTGGCAAACATACTATACCGAACGGTTATTCAAATACACTGTACGTGTCAGTGACTTCATGTGTTTAAAAAAAAAAAGGCTAGACAGAGGAAGTACACCTGATATTTTAGCAGTAATGAGCAAGATCTCTTTAACAGAAAGAAAGGTTGTTTTTTCCCCTACAGACTGGGTATGCCTGGCTGCATTGAGGTCTCCAGAGCAGACCTTGCCTGTGAACCTCACAGCCCTGGTTTCCCCTTGTACTACTCTGTTGCCCTATTGCACCCCTTTGCAGCATGGCCCGTGGCCTTCCTCCCACTCTCAGACTCCAAGAGTTGAGGACAGATGCTCAAATCATAATTTTTTTTTTCATTTTTTGGAAAGTGTGACAATGTGCTTGCATAATCCAAAAAAATTTGCTGCAGGGTTTCAGTGCGAGCATAGCGCCCTAGTGAATTTGAATTAATTTGTTTAAATACCTCCACTTTAACAAGCGTCTCTTTAAGGAAATCACCTGCATTTCCCACTCCTCTTGCAAGCTAACCCCCTGCCTAGGAGGCAGAGGGAGTCGAGCAGGAGGAGAAGCTGCTGGCCATTTCGGGGCTCAGCCCCGCGGCATCATGCCAGCAAAGGCCTGGCCTCCACCTCCAGCCTTGCTCAGGCTCTGTTGTTGAGCATCTCACTGTCTTCCATGCATTTTTCCTGGGGTGCCCGATTCTTTCGCAAGGCAGCTATTTAAAAGGGAAATCCAAGCACTTGGCCAAGGGTTGGAGAAAGGCGCCGTGCAGGGAGCTGGATGCCAGGCTGAGGTTTGCACTTTCTCCGCGGCCCGGTCTTCCTCTCACCTTTAAGTTATGTGTACACCTAGTTGGCTTCCTGCAGTGCCTGGCACGGAACAAGTTGGGATAGTGTCACGGTTGCCCACGAAGCCGTGCCAGCGTGAGAGCAGAGGCTTGCCAACGTAATGGCATTGATTAGTGCAGAAGAACCAGGGCAATCCAATTATAATCGCAAGCGCCATTGGCTTTTGCAAAGTCTTACTGAAGTAACGGTGAACTCTACTGTATTAAGGTGGTCTGGACTGTGTCAGGAAATGGGAATTCGTAGGGCTTAGGTAATGAAGATTAAATGGAAGAATAAAATTGTTAAATACTCTATTGCCTATTTACGTGTCGGGCAAAAAAATGATGTTTTTGGATGGGTAGACGCTGTCCAAGCCCCTCAGCTTGTCTTGATGTTAGGGAATGTATGTTTTTATTTCTTATTTTGGAAATTATTACAAAATATCCTAAAAGGAAACTACACATGAAAAATAGCTAAGAAGTTCACTATCGTTGAAATCTTGTTCAACCATTGAATATTTCTTTGTTCCCTAATATTATACTTCCTCTAACCTACTCAGTGGGTCAGATAAGGAAATGTGATATTTTTCACCAGCACGATGAAATTAAAGTAGAGCTATAAAGAGCGGGAGGGTTGTAGCCTGGAGTCTTAGATGAACAGTTCAGATCTGGCTTTATATTACTTACCAGAAGCGAACAGTCTCTTGTGGATGAATCACATTCAATTAGCTGTTTCCTATGATGAACTGATTAAAAATTAAGTGGCATCAAATACAGCTGATTTTGCTCTTACACTTAAATAATGCTATAATTACATACTAATCAGATGGTAGATCTTAATTGTACACGTTCCATATGTTTTACTTGCCCGCGCTCCATCTTCGGTTTGTTGTCTTTGTATCAGCATGGAGTATATTTTCAGGCTGCTTTTATGTTAGGCCTAATTGAATATCAAAAGCAGTATATGTGAAACTTCCTGAAATCTATTCTTTAGCCAGTGGCAGCTGTGCTATTAGATGACCTTTACCATTCCTGTAGCACAGAATAATAAAGGGAGGGGGGGGAATTGAAGCCTAGCCATGTTATTGTTAGAGACAGAAATAAATCATATATAATTGCCTCACTATGAAGGCCAAATCCTGCCGTCCTTCATGCCTGAGTTAGAAATACAGGATTTGGACCTTTGTTTCCTGTGGTTTCCTGGCCACCTTGGACGTGCCCAGAATCCTCACGCTGCTGCGGTGGCTAATTACCATCGCCGGCTTCGAGTCGAATAAAGCTAACTGTGAGCTCAGGCTGAATTCCTCCTGCGTGTGTAATGATATAGTCCTGCTTCGGGAAAGCCTTTAGGTGACTGTCAAACTGTAAGCATCATTGACTTCAAAAGTCTATTTATGTCTTTAAAAAATAAGAAAAGGCTTAAATGGTGGATTAGACGACGGTCTTCCACAAAGTGCTTCTGCTCTGATTCACTCTTTATATCAAATCTGCTAACTTCTGAATGAAATAAATAGATTTCTGGACATGAAATGCATGTGATATTGACTGTACTCAGTACAGAATGTATTTTATGCTTTTGTCTGCTTTTTAATCATAGGTCATGAAAATAGTCACAAAAAGAGCAAGCGGAAACACTGGAGAAAACAGTGGGTAGAAAGCAGCATATTATCCGACATGGAGATGTTAAAACATGGCCTAGAAGTGAGTTCATTTTCTACGGAGAGCAACAAGACTGGGAACATCAGTGAAAAGAAGAGCCATAGAAGGACAAAACGGTTTCTCTCCTACCCTCGGTTTGTCGAAGTGATGGTGGTGGCTGATAGCAGGATGGTTGCCTACCATGGAGCTAATCTACAGCACTATGTCTTAACGTTAATGTCAATAGTAAGTATTCAAATAGGGGGAGTAATTTTACTCACAGATCTTTTTCTAGTGAATGCAGAGCTTCCTTTCTGCTGCTTTCCCACATGTTACCATCAGTTTGCTTCAACTAGGTATGGAAATTTTTCTGGGATGAGAGTAAAGCTTGATACAACTTGGTTTTGGATTCACAAGACCTCAGGCATATCTCCCTTAGTGAAGAACATTTGGGGAGCGTTAGGTGAAGTCATCTTCCTTTCCCAGATCCACTACACTTCCTAACCCTTCCCACACCTCACCCTTGCAGCTGTCTGTGCCCCAGGCAGCATGAGAGGAGTCACTGGCCGTTTAGTCCATGTATTTTGTTCCTTTTATTTATGGAAATGTGAAATAGCTGAATAGAAAATGTGCTCTGGGGTCTGTGCCTTCCTAGAGACTGATGGTAGTAAGTCATGCGGTTGCCTAGCTCCCCTTGCTGTTAAAAGGAGAAGCAGCCTGTGGTCACCTAGCTCCTTAGCATAGTGCTAGGGTTGGCTTGCCAGGTTGATGGCGAGTGTTTTAGTAGCTGCTGGTACTAAGATGCAGTAGTGCAGAGTCCGCAGACAGGCAGCTCTGTCGATGGATATTGCTGGGAAGTGAGTATCCAACGCAGTCGTCTCACTGCGGTGCTTTTTATCTTATTAGAGGGTAGAAGCACAGTGCGTATGTAGTCTAAAAATGGCCATGTCAAAATGAGGCACCAGGCAGAATAAGTTGCTTTTGACAGTCTTGGCCAGTGGTTGTTGTACCTCCAAGCCAAATGATCCTGTAATTTGGTGAAAGGCCTGTTAAAGCAGAAAGAAACTTTATGTTTCGGTGATACCAGCAGGTTTCTTTCATTCTAAAATTGTGCTACTGGCAGGACTGAGTCTGTCAGAGGTGTGCAGCAAGTTCACGGATGGTCAGATAACATTAAAGCACAGAATGGCGCAAAATAGCAGCTCAGGGCAAAAACAGTCACAGAATGGAAAATATGTTTGTATTGTCTTAATTATTTTTTCCTTGAATGTTAGCAATAACTCTAGGCACTTCTTTTTGAAACAGGTAGCTTCTATCTACAAAGACCCAAGTATTGGAAATTTAATTAATATTGTTATTGTGAAATTGGTCGTGATACATAACGAACAGGTAATGGAAGTGGTTTTCTTCTCCCTTTTTTTGACAGTGCCATATATAGTAAGCCTGGTGATAAATAATTAAAATACCTGCTTTATATGTATTGCTCATTAGGATGGTCCTGCAATATCTTACAATGCCCAGACAACGTTAAAAAACTTTTGCCAATGGCAGCAATCCCAGAACCACCCTGAAGGAAGTCACCTTCAGCATGATACAGCTGTGCTTGTTACCAGGTATGCTGAATTTTCTCATTAAAAATGTCGCCAGTCACGTGTCAGAGTTACCAGCTGTGAGCTTATAATACGTGCAGCTATGGGAAACATTTGGTGTTTGATGTGGGTGTCATGAGCAGAATTAGGAGAACATATTCACCATAGAGGTGGAGGGATCTTAGAGGTTCAGCACTGTCCAAGGTCTGACCATGGCCAAACCTGTGATGAAACCCTCGGACTGTGGTAGGGATTTGGTTCAGGCTCCTTTTGGATGGTGCGGCAAAACCAGCCTGGAGGACCAAGAATTACTTCTGGATTTTTTTTTTTAATTATTGTGCTTGTCCCTTAACTCACTGCTGCATTGAAAATTAATGTGTCAGATCTGTTCTGCTTTCAGACAGGATATTTGTAGAGCGCACGACAAATGTGATACTCTGGGTAAGAAAACCCTTTTCTTTGTCTTTTTTAACTTTTGTGTAGTGACAATGCTAGCTTGGGTAACATTTCCTTTGCTATTGTAAACCTCTCTGTTCTCTTCTAGGTCTGGCAGAGCTGGGCACAGTTTGTGATCCATACAGGAGCTGTTCAATTAGTGAAGATAACGGGCTGAGCACTGCTTTCACAATAGCACATGAACTTGGCCATGTGTACGTCTTATGAAAATGCATTTACATTTAAATAGCCCAAGATTTATGCTAGCTAGACCTTGCCAGCGGCACTAGGAGTTGGTACCTGCTGAGCCTAATTGTCTGTGAGGAGATGAATAGACCTGGGTATGATGCACCACTGGGAAGTTCAAGCCGTGGTGCAACTCTGGGGGGAAGTGAGGTGCTCCGTAGCCCATTTGAGAGCAGCAGAAATGGCAGACCCATGTTTTGGGGAGTGCAAAGTGTTTGTGAGGGTGAGCAGCAGCAGGGTACCCAGAAGTCAAGCAGTACATGTGGAGGGGAGGACAGCTACCTAAACATCCCATATTGCTGCTTCTCCTTGCATCCAAATGTGGCCAAGTCTTTCAAACTTCCGCAATGCTCAGCCAAGCCTCTGGGACTAGCTGACTCTTTGGCCAGGGCTAGATGGTGCTGGGTGCCTCGGGGATGACCAGGGTGAGGGGCACGGGCACATCTCTCCCTGCCTTCAGGACTGAAACCTTCTCTGAGGGCAGGTTCCTCGAGCCATCAGAGCTCATCCCACCTTGGTGCAAGGTGTTCATGAAGTCAGCGGAGCAGCTGCGTACAAGGAGGGATTTAGGTGGTTCGGCTGGCAGTTGATTGAGATATATAAGTGAGCTTGATGTACCTGCTAAACTATTTCATTGCATGGGGACTTTCAGTAAGGAGGATCTCATGTTACTGGACATGCCCAGCAGAGACATAGTCGTTCAATGGAATTTTTCTCCAATGGGTATTTCTGCTAGCTGATTTTGAGTTTTTTTGAGATTGGGTAACGAGAAAAATCTTTTTAGATCAGAGTCCTTTACCCTACAGATGCAACTCTCTTAAGGTGCTTTATTCCATTCAAAACTGCCTTATACTTGGTTTGCAATGGAAGTCTGTAGATGTGGGATGGATGAGTTCTTAGGAAAAGAGCACTCATTGTTTTAAACTCTTTTTTTCTACACAGAGGTCTGGTTGAGATATTCTGTTTTTAACCACAGTTATATTTGTTTAAATGAGATTTCCTGACAGAAGTTCCCCAAAGGTTTGGCTTCCCCACACCTAACCTGTGGCTAATGCCTTCGCTAATGCTGCCCCAAAGCTGCTGAAGGGGTTAGAGGAGCTCCTGAGCAGGAAATGTCTCTTTACTCTTTTACGTGGAGCAGAGCAAAAAGTTGGTTCCTTGGAGGTAGTATTAATGGGATGTAAACTCCCAGGCCTTCCAATGTAAGATCACACTGGGTCATTTCCCCTTTTCCACTTCAAGTAGTAAAGCAGTTTAAGCTGTTCTGTCTCTGTTGTATACTTGCCACATTCTTTGATGTGTCATGTGCTGCAAACTTTGCATGGTCTTATGTTGACATTGATGCTTGATGGCGCTTTGTGAGCCTACCATGTAAAATATAGGAGCCAAATTTGTCCCTGGTGCAGCCCTATTTAGGTAACAGTGTGAGGGATGGACGTCGCCCAAGGTACTTAACTGCTTTAGAAAACACCTTCCAGCCAACCTCCTGTACTGAGGGGCTTCAGGCAGCAGTGGTCAGTAGGCTCAAGTGATTCCTCTGCTTCAGAAACTTATTCCCCCTGATCACCTTTTGGCTCTTTGGGTCAGCTCCAGAGTGCTTTCCATTTTCGTCTCCAGCCTGCCAGCAGGATCATAGCCATTGGTTGGAAACGAAATTACAACTGAAAGTGCGTCTTATGCAAGGCTCCCTTAAGCACTTGTCTTGCTAAATACATGCAGGTCTGGTGTGGAGAGCTTTAGGAGGGTCCTATGTAGCTTTTTGCAGCCAACTGCTAGGAACTCAGAACTGTTTGAAACAATGCCTGTTGATCCTTCTGAATATGTGAATATTGTTACTTGTATTCCATAATAGCTACCAGGAGCATATCTAGGAACAAATATTGGTTTTGCTTATTTTTAGTTCAGACTGTTGCTCTTGCTGTACTAAATACTTGCTACTTATCCCGCTGTACTTGTCTCTGCTGTGTTCCTGTTAGATTTAACATGCCACACGATGACAATCATAAGTGCAAAGAAGATGGAGGTAAAAATCAACAGCATGTCATGGCACCAACACTGAACTTCTACACCAATCCCTGGATGTGGTCAAAATGCAGTAGGAAATACATCACTGAATTTCTAGAGTAAGACCTTACCTATGTGTGTGTTAGGCTGTCTTTACCTGTGTGTGTATGGGCACTGGTTTATCTGAAATCCCAGCGTGTAGCATTTGGAGGAAATCGGAGGGATTTTTGTGTGCATACGTCCTTTACGTAGAGCGGGACTGTGCCCTTGGCATCCAGTCCCTGCTAGCTCTGCCTTATGAATAGCTGGCAAGGAATGGCCTCTCTAGAGGAGGAGTAAGTGTTCCCCCATGGATATTGCTTTTAAGGAATGTGCCTTCTCCTCTAACCTGAAGAGTGAGTTTTCCAAGCCCTGTGGCCCAGATACAGAGCCATATCAGGTGGGGAGCCAGATACGGAGCGTTAAGAGGCAGATTGCATCTGCCTTGCTGCTCCACAGGTCTTGAATGGCACTAGCTCTGCTCTGGGAATAGATTTCAAGGAGCCCCCAGCTCGCTTAGATGCACAGTGGCTGTCCATACTGCCATGAGGCCTTCCCACACTTTGTGATGGGGAGCAGAAAGAAACTATGATGGTTTCCAGGAGAATCCAGGAGCTTGGTCCCTTGGGTGGTTCTTCTGCTTGCTATCCAAGAGGAATACCAATGATTTTCTTTCTAAACGTATACCAATGCTTGATCGGCAGCTAAAGGAAGTTTATGCACTGTCAGACACGCTTTTGCTAGACTAGTTGACTGCATTATAGTGAACAGTCATCAGCACAACATGGGGTGGTAGTGAACAGGTAGACAGCCTCTTATTCTCCATAGCAGCTGTTGTAGTGCTTGTTAAATATGGCAGATGTGGTGAACATCTAATATAAGGGTAACCTAGATGAAAATAAATGAGTTCTAGTCTCATCACCTCCTGATTAACACCATTTTCCTGCTTTGTGTTGTAGCACTGGTTACGGGGAGTGTTTACTTGATGAACCTTCATCAAGAACTTACACATTGCCTCAGCAGCTCCCGGGGCTGATTTATGATGTCAATAAACAATGTGAGTTAATTTTTGGACCTGGATCTCAAGTGTGCCCGTATATGGTAAGTGCAATTCCATACTTTGGTTTTGCTGGCTTTCACAGATCAAAATAAGGCTTCCCAGCACTGGGTGAACAGGGAAAGGGGCTGGTGTAAAGACTGCACCCACCAGCTACCAGCTGGTTAGAGCCTGGGCCTTCAGCTCTACTGCTTGTGGGGATGCAACAAGCTGTCAAGTTACTGTCAACCTTGTGAGTTAATGATAAATCCTAGTAGGATAATTTTATAGAGGATCATGCATCCAGTAGGGTGTGTGGCATGTGGGATGAACGTGTTTAATATTTTGATCTGTTCAATAACTTAAGCAGATGCAGTGCCGGCGACTCTGGTGTATTAACATTGATGGAGCACACAAGGGATGTCGTACTCAACACACACCTTGGGCTGACGGGACTGAATGTGAACCCGGAAAGGTTTGTAATACCTCATCCTTTATAGCTATATATCAGTCAAACTCATCCTATCCCAAGGGCCAGTTGTATGGGATAGAGCTTCTGACCGCAGCTCCTGTCCAAAGCAGCTCTGTATGGTTTTAGCATTTTATACAGGAGTGAACTGTATCCCATGTAATGTGATTAAAATCTACTGCTTGGCATTATTTTGTTTATTGCAGTTATTCTTTTTTGATTGCTTATCTTTCTTTTTAAACTAACAGTGAAAAGTGAACTCTTCACTATTAATTAAGAGTGAACTCTTGAGCAAAACTTCTGCAAAGCTTTCCTAGACTTTTATTAGAAATTTCCCATGTGATGTGAGTAATTAGTAATTATACGTAACATAAACTTGCCAACTGGCTTCTCATCTTGACAGCTTCAGAGTAAAATATAGAACTAGTTGACATTTTCTGTATGAGCCTTTTTGGCAGTTTTTCATAAAAATTTTCCATTTCCATGTGCGATGTTAGCTTCCAACTAAATATTTTTCCAACTAAATACATTTTCTTGGATAAGTTTTTAGTTTTCACTTGTTCAGATCTGGAGAAAATTAGTTGGAAGATTTTTTTCTCTTTTATTGAGATGCTGAATCTTTTGAAGAAAAATGTCAACTAGTTTTCATAATATTTTTCTGAATAAAGATCTTCCCCATCTTGCTCTAGTAAGCAATGTATGATGTTATTCAACAAAGCATAGCGTAAAAATTTGGTCTTGTAGTTAATTAATGATCAATATTTAAAGTTTCATTGCCTTGAAAGACTCTGCGTCTAAATTCATAGTCTTTCAAATGTGGATGCTATTTTAGGTGCAGTCTTTCACAAAGGTTGTGGGTCTCCTTGGCAATTAATTTTTTGTTACATGTGTCTGAAACTCATTTGTGAACACTGATTTCGTTTAAGGCAATGGGCATAATGTAACGGTTTACCTTCCTTATGGAAAAGCATAGTCAACACGGGAGCAGAACTTGATAACCTGATGTTTTTAAGGTCAAGTGTATGGTAGAGATATTACTGGAACTCTATTCCTGCGTTACTCTTTGGTGCCAGTGGCACACCAATATTTACTGTTTTTATGTAAAATCACTCCCTTTCTTGAGAATCAGGATCAAAAGTCCGCTCTTAAGTGGGACACCCATGACCATACACCTTGTATCTTCAATTTCTCTGTTTGTGAGCTTGGGACGTGCTCAGACCTGGCTGCCCGGAAATAACTACTTTTTTTGAATGCCAAATGTCTGAGCTGCAGTTCTGTTCAGGCATACCTGCAGTTACGCTTGGATATGACCAGAGTTGTGTTCAGACATCTGCGGACAAGTTTAGATAAGTGTGAACTGAACTTCTCTGCTGAGAGTGGATGGGATCCTAGGAAAGGCTAAAACAGTCGAATTGCATCCAGGCATTTGAATGTATTCTGTGAAAAAAAAGGCTTTGCGCGTTGTATTTGTGTGTTGGTCTAACTCAGGCTTAGGGTTTGGATTATCATAAGCTCTTTCCTCCTCACTATTTTCTTGGGCTTGTAAAGTGCTGAGGTGCGAGTCCAGAGTGCGTTTCGTTGGAACAAATCACTATTTTGGTATCCTGCAGTGGCTAGGAGCCCTGTCGAACCACTGCATGCTGACTAATGCCTTGCCTCAAGCCTGAATGTTTAAAGTCCATGATATATGGGTTGGCAGACAGAGAAAATACCATGCCATTTTTTATGGAGATACCTCTGGAAACAAGAGAGTCTGAATAGCTAAGGGAAGTCTAGCTACAGCTACTGAAATATAGACTTAACCAGGCTTTAAAGTTATTTTTAAATCAAAGGTAATAAAACAAGATGGGCTTATGCAATAAGCTTATGCATATTTTGAATGCTAGGGCACTGGAGTTGATACCGCTAAATCAAATAATAAGCCCAGATTTTGGCCTTTGTTGGGTGAACACCAGTCATGATCATTTGCTCTGCTTGACAGTGCCCGTGTCTTACCAGTTGGAAATAAATCACTATGCCGCAAAGAAAGAAAATAAAGAGGCTCATAAGCTTGGATCTGTGTCTCTTGTGGTTTTCAGGGTTGTTTTAGAGAATGGTAAAAGAAGCACAGATGAATAGTAATCATTTCTGTCTCCTCCCTTATGGCAGCAGGTACCGTATAAGTTATGCATGCGTGAAGCTTCACAGCACTTGTCTGCCCCCTGCTAATCTATTCAGCCAAATCAGCCCAAGTCCGGGAGCTGGTTTTGGTGAATTATCTAAGGCCCCTGTGGCAAGACAAAGGGAAGGAAAGTCTGCTATAGTGTCTCCCTTCCCTGCCGTTGCTCTCCTGTTCAACTTTGTATCTGTTTAAGTTATTTTGAACTTGCTCCAGACAAAAACCCTTTTATTCTCTTCATTCTCTGATCTGTAAGCTCATAGGAAAGAGCACCCTGGCAGACTTCTTAGTTTTCTGTTGTAATTCAGCGTAGGAATTATTTTTAAAATAAAAAAGACATGAGGGTTGCACAGCCAGACTATTCACAGCGTGGTTCCAAGAAACACCATTGCGTTTCCATAAGATAATCTTGCTGTTTATTTAAAACAGCTGCTCTTTCCTCCCCCCCCCACCCCGATTCGCTATCAATTTGCTATCACCACAAGCCCCCAGTTTGGAATAAAATCAAGAGATTTAGGTAATTTCCTGGTTAATCCTCAACCCTCGGATGGGAGACATATAGGTCATGTCACGGTCTGTTAGCTGTGTACATTCACTAGTTAGCTATTCGATCTGCTCCGGGTCAGCGGTGCCAAGCATGACTGTGGTTACATATTTAGCTGTGAGTGTCAACGTTTCTGCGAGAAGTTCTCCTCTGGGACAGCGTGGATGTACTGATGTCGTGCGTTTTGGTATGCTGATGATAGCTGCTGGCCCCCTTTGTCCCTGTAAATGACTGATGGGGGGGGGTCGCCATCCTGCAGTTCCTTGACCCTCGAAAGGCCGGGAGGAGGGATGCATCGCAAGGGTTTGTCCTGCAGCAGAGGAACTCGGCATTTCAGCTGATTTTGTTCCTGTCTTCTACTGTAGCAGACGCTTTTGTAAGCCAGTGTCTATCTGGGGAATCAAATCTTTGGATGAAGGCAGATGCACAGCACGTAGCCTAGAGACCAAGCTCATCCCTTAGTAAGCGCAGTATTTAGGGCCCAAGCTATGAGTTGTTCGGTCATCCTGCCAGCTGTGCACGCAGCAAACACAGCTAAGCTCAGCTTTCTTCCCCAGCAGGTAGCAATGCGTTGAGCAGGTTGTCATCAGGGAAAGGTGTCGAGCATGTTGCAGAGCCAGTGTCATACGGGAAGGCTGTAGACCCCAGTGGTAGCTTGACCTTGATCTATTTTCCTAGATAGCTTGACATAACCTTGATTCCTGTCTCAGGGAAAGGGCTTGTTTCCTCTCCCCAGCTGGCCACTCTCCTGTTAGAGTAAGAAAAAATACCTCCACTGCTTCGCGCGCTCTGCCCGGTTCGTCTGCAGCCCATCAGTGGATGCAGACATTAGGAGAGTGGTGGACAGACGGTCAGACACCATGAGATCTCATTAGCCTGACCTTCCCAGGAAATGAAGCAAACAACACTTTTCCTCAAACTGTTCCCTTAGATTTTTTCAGGGGACTTTTTGTGTTATTGAAGAACTGTCCTACAGGTGTGAAACTCGCCATCAGTTTTGGAAGCCCCTTTGAGTTGGTCTCTGAAGTAAAGAGGAGGTAAACATGGCACATTAGTAAATTAGACCTATCGCCATAAAGATCATTGGGTATTTTCCTGTCTGAACAGCACCTGATGCAGTAAAATATCACAAGGGACTATTTCAATGATGCTTCAACATTTTTTTCTTAAGTTTCCAAGTTTCGTCTAATTTGTGAGCAATCAGCAATGTTTGAGTTTCATATAATTGCAAAGATTTAGGCATCTGCCAGCAAATAAGCACATCTCCAGGTTTAAATCTACTTTAGCAAGCGGTGTTCAGTGAGAGTAAAATCCCTTTTGGGATCTGGTGGTATTTTTCTATCAATTCTAGTGGGGCCAGGATGTGACTCTCCCCTAGATCTGGTCTGTCCAGAGAAGTCTTTATAATTGTACAACAAACACATCCAGAAGAGACTTAATTTGCACTATAAAAATAGGGGGGTGGGGGGGTGCCAAGATAATTTAAACCAGTTTTCCAAACAAAATAGACAAGAGTTATAGCTGGAAAATACAAGTGCAGACCAAGCCTTGGCAAGTCTCATGTTATGGCTGAGTGAAAAAAATACTTTGGAGTGAGGAATTCTTTGTTTTAATTTGCCCTTTTGCATTTGGAACTTTTCTTTCCTTTCCCTCTTCTGGGATTTTGTACAGCTGTGGAGAGGTTTGAGGGTTTTTTTCTGCTGTTTGCTAATACACGTCCCTATTGTCTGCCTCCTGTTATGACACTTTGTGGTTCCTGCTGCTCTCCAGGAAATCAGATAAGCAGGTTTTCAAAAGCCAGCGCTGTGAGCATTGCTACGCTGGTCGGCTTCAGCAAACGGGGAGTATTCGGTGGTTGTCGTTGTCCTCAGTTTTCTTCCCATAAATCACTCCTCTGGACTCTGCCGCTTGCCTTCTCTTCTCCATTTAAGGGTGCGAAAGATTGGGACTGCTTGTTTATCTTCCCTGCAGAGAAAGAAAATGCAAGGTGGCCTGGTCCTGTGGCTACTGAAATAAGTGGGGCCTTGATTCGGGAGAAGGCACCCAATATGTGCTTGAAACTAGAGCTGAGCACGGATTCAGAGTGCTCTCTTGAGTCCAGCCCAGGGGGAAATCTGCTCTGCTACAAATTTGGCTCTTAAAAAATACACTCTAGGTTTTTATGCAAATAAAATTTGGGTGACTGACCAAAAGTAAAAACATCCAAATGTTCGTTTGGGAAATCTTTGTTGCGATTCAAGCGGGGTGTTTGAGAAAAAGCAAGCAAATGAGTCTTGGCATCAGGGCTGATCACTAGCATTCGACTCGTAATGAAAAAATTTCCCATCTCTCTCTCTCGCCCACAGCACTGCCGGTTCGGGATGTGCGTCCCCAAGGAGCGAGAGGCGCCGGTGCTGGACGGCGCGTGGGGCACGTGGAGCCCTTTCGGCACCTGCTCGAGAACTTGCGGCGGGGGCATAAAGACGGCGATACGGGAGTGCAACAGGCCCGAGTAAGTGCGGTCGTGGGGCAGCCCCCAGCGAGGGCACGTGGCTGCAACGGACAATGGCGAAGCAGCCCGCTTGCCTCAACGGGCCGAAATCCCATTTTTTGGTTAGTTGTCCAAAAGGGAAGTGTGCTGAGGAGGGACCCTTCGACAGAAAGAAAAGGAAAGAGCTGGAATATCTGGTTAGATTTATTGTCTCCTCGTTTCCTCGTGTCCTGGAGAGGCACAACTGGGGTCCTGCTTAACGCAGAAGGTGTTTTTCATCTTCCCAAGTTTTGGATGAGAAAGGTGCTGGAGGGAGAGGGGAGGGAGCACGGGAGGAAGCTGGGCCGCATATTTATCTGTTTTCTACCATTTTACTCCTGTTTTGGCTGCTTTTGCAGCTGCTCCTGCAGGGCACATTCTTTATACTGTTACATGCAAGCTGACCCAGACTAGAACCTCGGTAGAAATCTGTGCCCCATTAAAAGGCGGCGCTTAAAAATGTTTGCCATCACCATGGAAGGCAAAACCCCGAACCCTTTGAAACGGCAAGGAATTTCGCCGCAGGCTTCGAGGCGGCGAATGCGCGGCCTGTAAAATATTAGTGTGGGGTTGAGCAACCAGTGTGAAAACAATCTGTTTACATAAATGACTGGTGGTTCCTGTTTAGCTGCCTCCTTTCGGTCCCCGAGAGCACGAAGGGGGCTGAAGAGCTGCTTGGAGGAAGGGAGATGGGAGGGTTTGCCCCCGCGACGGCGGTGGGGAAGCGGCAGGAGAGGGTTGCTCAGCTCGCCCGGGCAGGTGTCAAAAGAGAGAAGACGTCGAGACGGAGGGAGTCAGACGCCAGCACGTTAATTAAAGTGATGCTGGGAAAGGCAGGAGCCGAGGGGGACTCGCGTCTCGCTGTGCTGAGTCAGCACGTGCCATATGGTCCTCCAGCAGCCCGTTTTGCAACGCTGAGCCGAGGAGACGTGAAAATAAAATACGTGTCCACGTGCAGGAATAGCTCTGCAGCCGGTGAAACGTATTCCCATCTTCCGTAGCTGCATCTGCTTGGACTGATAGCTTTTGTGATAGAAAATCTGTTTTCTCCTAAGGGCGAGCCGAAGGATTTTAAATATCGTCTTCTCTTACAGCTTGTGTTTTGTAACGTAGCGTTTCGCGAGGCATTTTGCTGTGCCTGGGGTTTTCAGGAGCACCCAAGTACTCTCGGCACCAAACTCCCTTTGAAATCCCCTACGCTTATCGTGGCTAGCGTTTATTCTCCAGGCGTCTTTCAGGAGCGGGGTAGCTGGCACTGCCTCTTCTCGAACCCCTCGTGAAGTCTCCGCGGGGACTCGTCTGTCGCAGCGCAGTCCCCAGCGGTTTCCACCGGCTGTTGTTTTGCCCCGGTAGTTGGACGTCGTGGCATGGGCTCCCGCCATCGGCACTCCCGTCATCGGGGCGCTGCCGAGCCGGCACGAGCGGGCGGGGC